AAATGATTGCTCGTCAATGTGTTTATTTGCATTAAATGATCTTAATTAACATTCACGGGGTGTGTGAGTACACACAATCTCTCTCCCTCTCACACACACAAAGACACACAAAATTGTATACTGAAACTTTTATTTTAAAGATGGCGTCCCCTGGTTTTAGGATGGTTCCATTTTTATTTTTGAAAACTGCAATATTATATTTCTGTGTGGATGAACAGAGAGAGAGAGAAAATTAGTTTTCACACACACACACTCACGCATACACACACACACACACACACACACACACTTTCGACCTTTCACTTCAATAAAACAAGCATCCATTTGAGAGCCAACAGTGGTGCTGATGTTTTTACAACTTCCACAGCATCAAAGTAATGATCTGCTATAAATCTGAACAACAGGGGGAGACAACGGGAGAGGAGAGGAGAGGAGAGGAAGAGGAGAAGAGGAGAGGAGGGGAGAGGGGAGGAGAGGAGAGGAAGAGGAGAAGAGGAGAGGAGAGGGGAGGAGAGGAGAGGAGCAGAGGAGAGGAGAGGAGAGGGGAGGGGGGGAGGGGAGGGGAGGGGGAGAGGAGAGGAGAGGACGAGAGGAGAGGAGGAGGAGGGGAGAGGAGAGGAGGAGAGGAGAGGGGGGGAGAGGAGAGGAGAGGACGAGAGGAGAGGAGAGGAGAAGAGGAGAGGAGAGGGGAGGAGAGGAGAGGAAGAGGAGAAGAGGAGAGGAGAGGGGAGGAGAGGAGAGGAGAGGAAGAGGAGAAGAGGAGAGGAGAGGGGAGGGGGGGAGGGGAGGGGAGGAGAGGAGGGGGGGGGAGGAGGGGAGGGGGGGGGGGGGGGGAGGGGGGAGGAGAGGAGAGGAGAGGAAGAGGAGAAGAGGAGAGGAGAGGGGAGGGGGGGAGGGGAGGGGAGAGGAGAGGACGAGAGGAGAGGAGAGGAGATGAGAGGAGAGGAGAGGAGGGGGGGGGAGGAGGGGAGGGGGGGGGGGGGGGGAGGAGAGGAGAGGAGAGGGGGGGAGAGGAGAGGGGGGGGGGGGGGGGAGGGGAGAGGAGAGGACGAGAGGAGAGGAGAGGAGAAGAGAAGAGAAGAGGAGAGGAGAGGGGAGGGGGGGAGGGGAGGGGAGAGGAGAGGACGAGAGGAGAGGAGGAGGAGAGGAGAGGAAGAGGAATCTTACTAGTGGACAACAACTGTTTCCTGGACACTGGAAGGGATAAAGTTTTTACTCCCGTATCCACAAATCCATAGAGATAAAGACAGTTCCTGTTGGTCCACCGCTGCCTCCGTCAGTTACTCCAATACTTCATCTACCTCAGGGACATCAACTGACCACAGGAGGCAGTAGTGGGCGGTCAGCCCTTGTGTCCTTTAGCTCAAAAATAACCAGTTCTCTCAATGGCAGAGTCTTTGTACGAGTGTGTGTGTGTGTGTGTCTGATTTAAATTGTCTCTGTGTGGCCAAGGCTTCACCTCTGACCTCTGTGAGTTGGAGTTTGTGATGATGTCACCAGAGAATGGAGGGCTGTGACATCATGCATGTACATTAGTATCTTTATAAATACATGTTGATGTTTGATATCAATGGGAGTCAACAAAGTCAAAAACATTTCTGTTAACACGACTTTCTCTTTGAAAATGAACAGGTGGAGGAAACCAACGCCTGTCCCTCTGACAGCAGGGAAGAGTGTGTGTGTGTGTGTGTGTGAGAGAGAGAGTGTGTGTGTGGTCACAGCCACATAAATTTGTTTTCGGTGTATTTCAGTTTGAGACCAAACAAGGCAGCCCCCCCACCCCCGCTTTACTGATCTAATTGAGCTGTGTGTGTGTGTGTTTGTGTGTGTGTGTGTGTGTATGCAGCAGATGGCAGTGTGTCCTCTGCCTGATGGTCCAAAGGAAAATAATAACTGCGTCGTCTCGGCCAGACTCAAATTAGTCTGCTGGACTCTCGCCCGTTACGCCCAAATATGGTCGGCAGCCAGCTCTGCTTCCTGCCAGCCAGGCATATGCACAAATACACACGCACAGCCATGGACACACACACACACACACACACAGGTGGCTTTAAATCAGCCTCTCCTTTCTTGTCTTTGTACCTCAGAACTAAACACTTTTTAAAAAGCGAGATTCAAAGTTTTACAACGGAAACAACAAAAGAGCTGCAAAAATAAAAAATAAAAAAAAAAAACCCTGTCCCCAGTCTGGAAAGGTTATGTCTTTGAGTTTTGTGAATTTATAAAAAAATAGGAGTTTTTAGACCAGAGAAAAAATATTATTTCTTTGGTGTTTGATATTTTAAGCCTATACATATTTAATTGACAAAAACTGACCACAAGAGGCAGTAGTGTTTAGAGGCTCCTGTGTCTATTTGAGCCAGAATCCTCCTGTTCTTTTCTCTGGACTTTAGTTTGGAAGAGTAAGCAAGTATATGTCAAATAAAATATTTACAACATGTGTTTATTTGAATTCTTCGATATCAAGAAAATCAATGATTTAAACTCCAGGTACGCAGGAGCTTCTAGTCCACTGCTGCCACGTGTGGTCATTTTGTGTCACTGACTTTAATCAGTGCCATTTCTCTGTAGACTTTTTAAGGAAGTAAGTAGTAAAAAAATGATGTCTTGTTTCCTAGGTTCTTGTTTATGGAATAATAACCCAGAAAAGACATCATCTCCTCTGACATGCCAGTCGTAGTTAGCATTAGCAGTGTCTGTTCCTCAACTTTTAATTATGCTGGGGTAAAACCTACAAATAAAGGCGTGATAAAGGAGACGGAGGTAAGAAGCAGTAGGATGAAGTTTAATGTTTAATTACAGCCCAGCTCTTTGGTTAATGACTCTATTAACGACCCAGCCGATTGGACGACTACGTCCGTCCATCAGCCGACGAGCTAAAGCGACAAATCCTCTGTACAAACATAAATCTGGCCGCAGGGATGAACTCGACTGCCGGGAGAGAAAATTCATAACCCCGTCAATTTGTCAAAGGGCTTAAAATAAAGACGACAGAAAAGTCCACAGCGTTTTTCCTTCACAGCACAATCTAATTAAAGTAGGAAAATAATTAGCCATATATTTTCATCTCATTTAAGCAGAAGACGAAGACGAGGACGAAGAAGAAGAAAAAGAAGACGACGAAGTGGGATTCTCAGTGATTAAAGAGGAAGAGCCATTACAAGGATGAAGGTTGATGAACTCTATGTACACATGCGGGGATAACAGGCAAAGACAAGCTCTCTCTAACCCCTCCACCCTCCCTCCCTCTTTTTATGTTTTTTTTAACTTTAAATCTCAACGAGCCACCACTTCAGCTGGGGCTGATAAAAGCTAAGTAGAACAAGATAAACCAGCTGAACAGAGCCACAGCTAAAAGCTTCAGGGACCCTGATTCCACAATTAATCAATTATTTGATAGAAATCATCAATCAATCCAATGAAGGAGGTTTAATTCAAGTGTTAAAGAAGCAAATGTTGGCAAAGGGGGAGGAGTGAGTGAGAGAGACAGTGAGGGAGTGAGAGAGAGAGAGAGGAGTGAGGTGGCACTTCCTCTTTAATTAGCTAAACTGATTAGTCCTCTTTTTTCTTGTACATTGATAATTTTCTAGGAAACAAAGTAGCTAAAAGTTAGCATGAAAATAACAGTTAGTCACAAATACACTATACCTATCGAAAGAGTCTCGAAAGAATCAGAAGTAGCTTAAATGTATGTAGAAACCAGTAAATGTCTTGCTAATGTTTATATTTATATTTATATATATATATGTTTTAAAAATATATAAACAAACAGAAAATGTGCTGCGACTGCTTGTTGTTTTGATGATCGTATTAAAGAGTATGAAATTGTCTTTCTGTAAATAAACTTCTCAGAACTTGGCAACTTGGGTTTGGGAACTCGTTTGTAACTGATAGAATTTTTTCAAGCACTGATCAGTATCTGGACAAACAGTTACTCCATCAATACAATTATTACTTTCATCCTCCCTTTAAACTAGGGAAATGTGGTGTTTGGATTTAATTCAACAGTCACACACACACACACACACACTGTGAAAGAGAGAGTTTTGTCAATAGCGACTCATTAGCGCCTCCAAGGTCGATGTGTCGCCCTTCAGGATGGACGCCTGTCTTTATTAACAGGAACTGCTGGAGAGTGAACCAATTGAGACGCCCAAACTCGTTACCAGGCTGACAGAGTACGATGAAGTGTCCCTGAGTCTCTCTCTCTCTCTCTCTCTCTCTCTCTCACACACACACACACACACAAACATACACACACACACACACACACACAAACATACACACACAGGGCCAATAAAATATGCATCGTCGCTCACTGCACAAATCAACAACCGTCCGACGAGCTGATGAGATTTTAAATGAGCCTTAATTTGTTGGGAATTGTCTTTGGTAATGATGGAGAGAGAGGGTGAGAGACAGAGACACACGGAGAGAGAGAAGAGTCAAATAAGACAGAGAGGAAGAAGCAGTGAAGGATTTGTCACAAACAAGAGAATGTGACTGAAATCTGAAACACTTCCATTTCATTTGCTCATTAAAAATTCATTGAAAATGAGAAAACAAAAAAAGTTGTGATTTTCTTTATTAAAAAGTGTTTCATTTGAAAGTCTTTTTTTAGTTTGTGTAAGCTCATTAGAGGTCAGGTACTGTCTAGCTTAGCAGTTAGCTTCAGCTAAAATCTCTTCTGAGTTTTTGGTAGCTTAATTATGAGCATTAAACTTAGGTTAGCATAACCTAAAATGGATGACATTAGCCTCGCCGTTCTTCTAAGTAGCTAACTTCAAAGTTAGCACATTAATTTAGCTTAGAGGTTTAATGTGCCTAGCAGTCGGCTCAGTAGTTAGCATAGCATTACACAAGTAAACATTTGCTAAGATGTTTAGCAAGTGACAGCAAAGTCAATTTAAAGAGAGTAAATTTATAAGACGGCTGAGCTTGGTGACTTCTGTTAGAGAAATGACAGAGAGACAACGACGGAGCCGGTCAAAGAGACTCACCTGTGACAGTCCCAGGTAGATGGACACCGTCTCAGAGATGTAGAGAAAACGTCCCTCTTTGTTTAGTGCAAATACGAACCCGTCCAGAGACTGAAAACAGGGAAAGACAGAGACGAGAGGGACATGAATTCACTCCACTGGGACAAGAAAACACTTAGCAGCAGTTTACTAACCTAACTCTTAGCTATACTGTTAACTCAGCCTTTATATTTATTGGATAAAAATATAGCCATAAAACAATGCTTCAATTAAACACACACACACACACACATTCAGACGTCCTACACTATCTAATGGTGTATTTTTGTGAAGATCACGGCAGAACATTGGGCTTCACAATGTAATATCACACTCACACACACACACACACACACACACACACACACACAGATAAATACTTCACAGGTCAGATGGGTTAATGACATGCAGTTCCCCACTGTTGCTGCTAACACACCACATTCTTCTGTGTATGTGTGTGTGTGTGTGTGTGTGTGTGTGTGTGTGTGACACTCTGCTCCCTGCTAGTGTCCGTTTAGTCCACTCTCTCACATGATGAGATGATAATGACATGTTAATCGTCACTGGGCCTCATCAGTGTTCTTCCATGCTGTGTTCTAATGTTAATGTGAGTGTGTGTGTGTGTGTGTGTGTGTGTGTGTGTGTGTGTGTGCGGTCCACTCCCACTGTCGCCCTTCACACTGTCTTTGTCCAACAAGTCAATTATCCTCAGATCACATTTAAAATGGCATTAATGTTAACTAGCCTAGCATTAAAGGTTACGTTAGCGTCCTTTAATAAAGTCCCTGCAGCGCTTACAATCATTCACACTCTCACATGACAGAGTGTGAATCATACTCTGTCCTGTGCCAAAGTACTGGGAAGATGTGCAATCAGTTTCAAAACAAAAGCTGTGGACAAAGTCGGACTCTTCTGTTTCTTCATGCCGTCGGACACACTCCGTGATCGAGTGTTTGTGGTCCACTCTATACATTATTCTGCTGCTGGTACTTTTTTATCTGTGTTCAGTTTAGAGTCTGGTGTATATTAGGTTAGCATTGTTAGCCTAACATTCTTCTCTTTTGAATTGACTTTCTAAATCCTACCAGACCTCATTTCTCTTACTTTACTGTTAGACTCTGTTCTACATTTGCTCTGTTCTTATTGATGCTCATTCCTTCTGCCATTACCTGGACTTTAGTAACCAACTCCATTTCTTTTGTATCTAAATGCTGAACGGAATTCAAATTCAAAACCATTCAATTCATAAAGATTGGAAAAGAATCTTGAAAAGAGGAAATGAAGACGTCTGTTTACTGATCTGTTTCACAGTGTAGCAGCTACATCTGAGAAAGTTTGACCTCCTCTGAGCTCCAGCCTTCAGTTTCTCCAGTTTCTTCAGTTTTCAGAAGCCGCTCAGTGTTGAACATGTGGCTGAAGCAGGTCAGAAGTGCTGGACGTTTATATGCCAACACAAGGGTTTTAAAATCAATTCTTCGGCACACAGGGAGTCAAGGGAGTGAGGAGGGAATTGGTGAAACGTGCTCATGTCGGTGCGTTCTCGTTAGAAAGACGAGCAGCAGCATTTGGTACAAGCTGCAGGCGCGAAAAGGGAGGTCTGATTGATTTCAGCATGAAGTGCATCTCAGTGGCTGAGGAGAGTTATGAAAAAAGCATGAATGACAATAAAGTGCTTCGTGGAGACAGGACCAAAGCAACTCCAGACCCTGGATGTCAGTGGTGTCCTTGATGACACACGTGTCTGTGTGGTGATGGGGGCTGGTGGTCCAATCAGACACCTCCCTGCTGGTGGAGGTATATATATATATATATATATATATATATATATATATATATATATATATATATATATATATATATATATATATATATATATATATATATATATATATATATATATATATATATATATATATATATATATATATATATATATATATAGGAGTGAGCTTTGTGTGAAAGAGACCTTTGTATAATCTTAAAAAATTAAGAGATTTCTTCTGTAAATGGATTTCTTAATTGCCATAGAAAAACTATAATAAAACAAACAAACAAACAGATGTCAGGCAGCCTCAGAAAGGGGCGGAGCTAAAGCACATGTGACCAGTAAACGCCACGACATGATAACCGTGTGTGTGTGTGTCCTTCTAACAGCGTCACCTGCTGGACAGATTTATATATGTGTAAACAAACAGACATTTACTCAGAATCGGCAGTAGAAAGACAAATGTTACGCAAAAACACAGTCATCTCAGACGGTAAAAGATGGAATTAGCAGGAAAACACACACACACACACACACACACAAACGTCTAAATCTGGCCGCTCAGACAGTAAACGAAAGAATTGCAATTGATTAGTGAGCGTTGCTGAATGGCTCGCTCCCTCTGCTTTCCACCTCCTGCAGATTACTGCATCGATCGCCCTCACACACACACACGGACACACACACACACGCAGAGAAAAAGGCGATCTTTTAACCATTCAGAATGGGCGGTTTAAATGTTACTGTCTAGCTCTCTGCCTCTTAATGACAAATGGAAAAACAGATCGTGTGAGTGAGTGTGTTTGAGAGAGAGAGAGGGAGAGAGAGAGAGAGAGAGAGAGAACAAATGAATTGTAAAAGGAGCAGAAAAATAGGGTGGCTGGTGATATATATATATATATAGGAAAGCGACAAATAAAGAAATCATGAAACAAAGAGAGAGGGGGGAGTGATTAAAACCAGGAGAGAAACAGAGAAACAAAGACCATTAGGGCAAGGCCGAAAAACAACGAGGGAAAGTACAAAGGAAACAGGAGAAAAAAGGGATTTTTAATGGTCCTGACTAAAACTACGTGGACAACATGATGGATTCTGATTTGATTAAAAACTAAAAATCAGAAAGAAAAATAATGTAGTTCTTTCGTGATGCTACTTTTACAATGTTAAAAATGTTAAACTCCTGGGTTTTTTTCTAACCACTCGTCGTCTGTGATCTTAGCTACTGGTCCTCTGCTGCCCCTTGTGGTGGCAGTTTATGTGAATGGGTTTAGTGTGAATTGACCAAACTAGACACCACACCTGATGATAAGGTCAACACAAGCTGTGATATAAAATCACTGAGCTTGAAGCCCAACACAGACATCATCAACAGTGAGACTGAACATGATGGTCTTCATTTGGCCAAGTCCACAGAGAAAATCATTGATTTTACATTTTAAGAAACATCAACAGTTGACACTACTGAACTGGTCATTTCAAACGTGTGTCTTTGCCACGTCAGTGTTTCAAATCCTTTGTTCAAATGTACCTGAGTGACCCATGTGACCACCAGAGCCAGCAGTGGACCAGCAGTTATTGGCTTCTCTTGAGCTAAAATCATTGCTTTTTCAGTGGACTTTGGTGCGGGTCAGTACAATTGGTATTGAATTACAATAGTGAGCTTCCTGTTTGAAAAGGCTGTTCAGCAGTGGGATAATGAAGTGAATATATTCTAGATGTAAACTAAGTAGTTTATAAGCATTCACTCCTGGTTCTACTGTAGGTTACTGGGGCAAAAAGAGGAGTGGGAGCAGAGGAGAACCAGAGAGAAGGAATAGATGTGTTTGTTCTTTGTACAGAATAGCCAGTGAAGGAGAATGAGACTGAAACTGCAAGATAAAGATTGTATTTTCACAAATTGATGTTGTTTACTTTTGCAACTTGAAGACTTCATTGTTGCAGTGACCAGGTGTGTCCAAAACTCTTGGTCACATATTGATCAAAATGACCAGATTGAACATCAGATAAAAACAACAGCAGCTTCAGCCATCCGATACCAAAGCCCAAATGAAAATGATGTCGTAAACAGGGACACTATCTCCTCAGCCATGGAGGAGGAAAGAAGGTATCGTACTGATATCAGTATCAGCTGAAACTCCAGGTTGCAGTATCAGTATTGGACATGAAAAGGTTTTATCTCTAGTACAGAGCAGGTAATAAGAATCTGCACATCATCAATTCAAAAGTCCTGTCGTATCATTCCTAAATGTACGTCCTGATGTGGACTGGACTCTGACTACAGAGGAGGACGTGTTGTTTCTTTGAATCTTGGGAGGAAGCCCACAGTTTTTTACCTTAGAATCAACCATCCTAGGACAGCCTCGGACGGAGAAAAATGGAGGACTATCCCTTTAACTGTCTGTCTTTGCTCTTCTGGGAGAGAAATTACATCTGAGAACACGACTCATCGGCGGCAGCAAATATGTTCTGAAGGAAACACAACATGTCCTCGATTGCTTTTCTTCTTTATCTCTGTAATGAGGAAATGTTAATTAACAAATCTGACGAGTGTCAGGACGCCGGCGCTGAATATGGCAGTAATGTATTCTCTGACAACGCATTTAATCTGTTTTCTCCTCCCTATTAAAGAACTGCTCTTAGAGTCTGACATGGACTCAAAGCAACAGGCGCCGTGTTAAACTTCCTCGTTAGTGAAGTGACGTCTAAAAACAAAAGGACGAACATGGACTGTCAGATAAATGTTTAAAGTCACTTTACACATCAGAGACGACACCTTTAATTACATCTGGGCTTAAGCCCCGAGATGAATTGACAAAAGCAAAATAAAGTTTACACACTTAGTAACTGTAATGTGACTGCCTTTTTATGTGGAACCAAAATACTCCAAAAAAAATTAGCATTTTACCCAGACCAGTAATCTGTACAATCCACTTAAAACCAACACTCATTCCTTTTCTACTGATGAATCTTTCCAGCACTGGCCACTCTGTTACACTCTCACATTTAGAGACAACCATTCACACTAGCATTCACACTAACATTAATAACCTTGGTCATTTTAATGTGATGTTTTGGGTGAAGTGAACCAGCAACCTGTTCATCTTCTGGCAGTAAGGCATGCTGGGAAACCATACAGTATCTTTCACCCTGTAGACTGAAGTCTTTAGAAGGAGTACAATAACAGGTCTGCACTCTCAAAGGGCTGTTCTGCCTCTTATACCTAATTCAGATGACTGTATTTGGGTTGTTAATGCTGTAAAAACCTCACCATCCATTTACCCTTCATCTCCACTGCCACCCAGACTAG